CAAACCCTACAAGTGAAGACTGTTGCATTGATCCTCCTTTAAACAATGTTTAACCGCATTCAAAGAGAGGCAGTGCTGACTGGTGTCTCCCTGAAATACCCAACTCTGTTGGATGACTTGCAGGGCTGAACAAAATCACTGAATATATTCCGTGCTAACCGCTACTAATATACTAATGTGTAAAATAATATCAGTGTGTCAAAAACAAGAGGAGATACATACAGTGTGGTCCTTAAGAAGTAAGGCCACAGCTTTGTTTCCTTGAGAAAATTAAAAACCTCTTAAAAATATAAAAACTCTTTTGGTTAGTGCCAAGTGTTTCTGGTCAAAGGCAGTTGTATTAAGAGGTCAGAGGCTGAAACAGACAATTTCATATTTGAGACAGATGTATGTGGAAGTCTGGCCTGGTTCATCACATGGCTGCTTGGCACTGCGGGCTGGTCATTTTCTGAAGCAGAGGGATCTATGGAATCAAAGGACAGAAGGATCAACAGCACTGAACATCAGTGCCTAGTGCACAGTGCTGTCACACACTGAGGTGCACATTTCCACTTTTTAATGAAATATGAAACCAGAAAAAACATTTTCTGAATGCAGGTAATTACTGCCAAATACTGAAAGCATGGATGTTCATATAAGAACATGGATTTTGTTTAAGTCAACACATTAAATCTTCTGAATTCTATCACGTCTATGGGCAAAGTAGGCAAGAGATTTTTAAGCACCACCTGCTGGCTAATCGCTGTAACAAGGAGCTGTCATTTACTCTGAGTCACTTTGTGCATTTGTTGATGAAATTAGGTTGCAATTGTACCATGCATTTTGCAACTATTAATCAAACAACACACATAACAAAAAATAAGTTTGCTCAAACATGTTACATCCGAAATCTGGTAAAGATCAAATGAAATCTGTGCATGTGATTAAAAAAAAAAGTTAAAGGTGAAAATTCTAGTTGTCTTCAGTGCAGTCAAAGCTACATTAACTGATTTTTTTTTTTAGCCAATCCAGGGTGGTGACTGTGTTAGCAAACAGCTGTCTACTTGCACAATATTATTCTCAGTTTTTAGTCATAACTGTTATACTTTGTTCATGTGTGGGTGGTTAGATTCTCTGTGCCTTCCCTGGCTGCTCCTGACCTGCACTGCATTCTTCTGCTGTTTTGCTGGAAAATCCCTGAACAGATGAATGATGAACCAACATGGAGGCTGAAGTTTGGCAAGATTTAGTTCTATTAATGAGTGTAGTGCTTAAATATATGGATTAACAACAGTATTACAAATAGTGTTGCTTTCGTCAACGAAACTAAATATCGTCGTCAACGAACCTTTATCGCATGACGAACACAAGACGAGACGCAACGAAAATGCTGGTCATGTGACAATGATTATAATTAAATGTATAATGCAATATTGTTGAAAAAACAAAACTAAATGTACTTTACAAAATAAAAACTATGCTAAAATGTCTCTTCATTTTCGTTGACCAAAATGAGACGAAATGAAATGTATTAACGTTATTTCATCTCGTTTAGTCGCATTATCATTTTGCAGCATTTCTGTTTCCTGTGTCTCGCTTTAGGGGCTGTATCAGGTCGCACTGCGCAGACGCAGGCGACGTCACTTCCTTAAGCCCCACTCGCGGCATTATTTAGAAGACAACAAACAAAGTTAAGTCTGACACAGAGAAAGGGACCGATGGCCGGCCAGCTGGGGTTTGTCATTGGGAGAAAAAGAAGAAACGACATTTAGCAAATCTTTCATTACATAGAAGTGGAAAAGAAAACGAAATGTGTTGCAGAAATGCAGTCATAAAATCACACAAAATGTGTACTGGATGTAATCTTGAGTCTCTAAGGTAACAATAATATAATAAGATAACCTTGTTTGAAATGGGTTTGCTAAAAGAACCTTTTGGTTTCCTCGATACTACTAGGTACTTATACTATATTGACTGTGTTAGATAGAATTGCATTACTAAAAAGAGACAAATACAATTTTCGTTGACTAAAACTAGACTAAATGTCATCAGTTTTCGTCGACTAAAACTAGATGAAAATAGTCATGGATAATTCTGACTAAAATAAGACTAAAACGCTCAAACTTTTAGTTGACTGAAACTTGACTAGACTAAAAAGAGCATGAACGTGACTAAAACTAATAAAAACTAAAATGACAGCTTCACACAAAGACTAGACTAAAACTAAAATTAAAACAGGCCGCCAGAAACAACTATAATTACGAAGCTGCTGTGTTTTCTATTTGATGTGCGAAAAGTTCAGACAATGAAATCTTCCAGCAATCGCAATCCCAGCACACAGCTGGTCCTGAGGATATGGACTTGATATAAGGATTAAGCTTTACAAGACAGCTCTGAGGAGTGAAGACCAGTGCCACTCTCACCTTCGATAGATCCACCCCAGTGAGGGCGTTGATGGACACAGGAAGTTCAGCTAACAGACGGGTCACCTCTCCAGTCACACGGCTGCCTTCTCCACTCAGGATCACAATCTCGTTGGTCTTCGACAGCGGTGCAGCCACCTTAGCAGCAATCTGATAAAACCATGGAAGCTGTCACTTATTTCATTCTATCTCTACTGATAAGGACTGACAAGAGTTGACATAACTGCTGCTGTGAGGTAATAGCACTAACCACTGCACCACTACACTTCCCGTAACTGTTAGCATTCACACAGAAAAGCTCTTTGACAAGAGATAATAAGATCAGAACTCCCCAAATACTAATGAATTAGTTTGAAACCAGTGGTGAATAAATGTATCCCACAGACCTTGGGCAGAGCCTCCAGGACCAGCGCGGTCTTGGCAGCGTCGCCATACTGCTGGTAGGCTTCAGCTTTCAGCCTCATCTTCTCAGCCTCTGCCTTCCCCACCGCTTCAATGGAGGCGGCTTCCGCCTCACCGATACAACGGATCTTCTCCGCCTCTGCCTGCGCTGTCAGCACCTTCTTTATCCTGGGGCAAGGTGGAAGCATCAAAAGGACTGTTTAGTGCTTGCTTGCTTTAGCAGGTGATCATGTGAAGCTCTTCAATGTGAGATATTCTGTCTCACATTGTGAGATATCTATATTGTATTATCCCTAAAAAACAACTAACTAACTAACTAACAAACAAACAAAAAAAATCACAGGTTAATTTATATATAGTTTACTTTAAGTTTGACTTGCAGGTCAAAAATGAGCGTGGTTGCACCTGCTTCTCAGATTATAAGACAGAAACTACAGTAGCGAGCTGTTCATCAGTGGCAGCATGTCTGAATCACATTTTACATGCTGGTTTACAATTTACATGGTAATAGCTTAATTTAAGACAAATTGCTGTACTGTTGTCAGGTCAATGACATTTGATTCATGAAAATTATTATAAAGCTTGGGCAATGAAAAGAAAAGATCATTAGCATTTTGCCCCCAAGTACAGAAGTAAAATAACTGAGAAATGTTCTGTGTGGACCCACTCACTTCTGTCCTTCAGCTACCTGCTCCATCCTGTAGGCTTCAGCCTCGGCAGGTCTCTTCACAGTGGCACAGAGCTCTTTGTCAGTGCGGATGATCTCCTTCTCCTCAATGCTGATCTGCTTCTTCCTCTGCACAACCTCGATTTCAATCTCCTCCAGGCGGATCTTCTGCTGTTCTTTGGCCGCCTGCAGTTCGTATGCTAGTTGTGCCTCTGCTTTCTGGAAAAAGCAGGGGTTTTGTGCTTGTTAACACACTTTTATTAACACGTGACTGTTAACAATATATTCACACCAATAAACTCGATACCTTAGTGTTCACTTCCTGGTTAAAGGATGCTTTCTGCATTTCCAGCTCTCGTTTGGAGTCAGCCATTTTTGTGTCAGCTAAGAACTTGATATCCATCATTTCTTTCTTACACTCAGCTTCCTGTGAATGGCAGTGTGCAAAAGATAAGGACAGGGAGACGGCTTAGGAACAGTTTACTAGTTTTCATGTGATAGCTATTAGTTTTTGGATGTCTTTCAGGTGCTTGTTTGTAGCAATTTTTACCCTGATGCCAGCATCTCTCTCTGCCTCTGCCACCCCGATGTCTGCATCCCTCTGTACTGCAGCTGTCTGGGTTTTGCCCAGTGAACTCAGGTACTCCACTTTATCATATACATCCTGTCAGAAAGATAAATATGGAGAGACTGTATGATACGTTATTATTCTAATTTAAATTTGCAGCGGAAAACATATTCAAATGTTAAATGCAGAACAATGTTTCCATGTCTGAAACCTTGATGGTGAAGCTGAGGATCTCGATGCCCATACGTCCAACATCAGGTGCCGCCACCTCTCGCACCAGGCTGGCAAATTTGTCTCGATCTTGGTAAATCTGCTCAACAGTTAGGGTGCCTGAAAGATGCAAGCAGTAGTGCCTTACAATTCAAGGGTCACTACTGAAAATTCACACATTGACAATGAAGGCCAATATGCTAAGTACAGTAACCCAAGCTTATGAGTATAGGCGTAGCCCTCTAAGAGCTGTTAATATTGGTTTCTCCCTCGCGTAAGTGCAGTCCTGAGGAGATTCTTTCATGCCCTGTACCCTGGGCTGTCCCCAAACAGGTCCACTGTAGTGGCATAAATGCTAATGTGACTTGTGATTGGCTCCCTATGCCAGCACTTTTCCTTCAGCTGGCGGGGGTGGGGACAGCAGGGCTGCCAGCTTAGAGGGCTACATCTATACTCATAGAAGCTTAGGTTACTGTATACAACCATCATTCTACATAGGCTTCATTCTACATCATTTCATATAGGCTTCGCCCTCTAAAAGCTGTTGGGATAAAAGCGCAACTGGATGTAGTCAATGCCCTGATGGCACACCACCTCCAACAGCATTAACACCACATCTCAGCTTGCCAATATACCCATAATAGCAATCCCAAAACAATATCCTCTCTCCTGCATCAGGCCACGACTGAGAAGCAGGTGCAACCATGCTCATATAACACCCGACCACATTGTGAGAAGGCAGAACGGCCATTCTGTGTAGCAAAGGATAAGTGCAGGGGGGGGTGCACAGTGAGCATGTGCACCTGACAAACACATGAATAACAGTTTGAGAGCATATAGACGTTAGCAACACATAGTAACAGTCAGACGCTCAGATTACATCACTGTTCTCTAACATCTGAATCAGCTTTATTGGCCAGGTGTTTCGGACACATGAGGAATTTGACTCTGGTACAGTGGCTCTCAATGTGTGCACACATGTCAACAAGCAAGGGAATGAGAGATAAAAAAATAAATAAGAGTAAAGTACTTATAGAGACCTGTACATACAGTATATGTATGTGTGTGTATATCTTGCAGAAACAGTTGGGACACAACTATGCACAGCACTTTAACAGAGATGGGCAAACAAACCGGAGCGCAAACCTGGGGCACCCCATAGCCGAGTGGTTATGACGCAGCCCACTATATACCTGGAAGCACACTGCGTGTGCAATGTTAGTGGGTTGAGTCCAATGTTTGTTGCAGGTCTCTCCCTTGTTTCCTGTCTCCCTCTTGTTGACTTGCTGCAAATGAAGGCTAACAGCCCCCAAAAAAAATCTGACTTAAAAAACAAATCCAAACCCAACCACCTTTAAAATTGTTTGTCTTGAAAAAGTAGAATAGGATGTTTGACAAACACCTCCATTAAAGCACTGATCTCTGTGGTCAGTCCTAGTTTACCATCTTCTTCATCTCATTGTGTTGTGCCCGTTGCTCACTACTGCCCCCAGTCGTTGGGGAGCACCCACTTCAACTGGTCCAGTACTGAGAACCCGGCCACTGGTTGGTACAGCCATTAAACAGAGAAATTTAAACATAACAGCAGGGTGCAAGATGCTAGCAGGTAGGGCATACAGTACATGGAACACCATAACCAAGTGGCTGGCATAGTCTACAGAAACATCTGTGCTGAGTACAGGCTGGAAGTCCCAAAGTCAAAATGGGATACACCTCCAAAGGTGGTTGAGAATGACCAAGCTAAGATCCTGTGGGACTTCCAGATACATGATTGTTTCTGCAGTCCTGAGTGTTCACTGGAGTCTGTTCTTGTCCTATTTGGTTGCTGAGCCACATCAGACAGTGATGGAGGTGCAGAGAACAGACTCAATGATTCCTCTGTAGAACTGTATCAGCAGCTCCTGGGGCAGGTCGAACTTCCTGAGCTGGTGCAGGAAGCACATCCTCTGCTGCACCTTCTTGATGATGGTCCTGATGTTGGACGTCCAGTTCAGGTCCTGGGAGACAGTGGAGCCCAGGAACTTGTAGGACTTTACTGTTAGTACAGTGCTGTCAAGTACGGTGAGGGGGCTTCTTCCTGAAGTCCACTGTCATCTCCACTGTTTTGAGCGTTGTTGCAACTACACCACTGCTCAACCTCCCTCCATTAGTAATGCTTACATTTTGATGGAGAACAGCAAAGCATAATGATGTCAGCCACAAGGAGGCAGGTAGGACTGGGAGAGATGAATACAAGCACCATGGAGAGCACACAGACAGAGCATGTGTGCAGTGAGGACACACACATCAACAGCTGGTGTTGACAACACAGTCAAACAAGCAAACATAGCTGACAGCTAACCGCTCGAGTGAATATCTCACGCAGTATCAGCGCCAAGTGGCTGGTGTACCTTTCATGTTCCATGACAGGGGGAGCCTCCTGATCACGCAGAACACTTAGAACCAAGTGAGGCAGTGAAAACTCGGACATGTCCCAAAGGTAGAAATGGGTGAAAGGACATGGAGAAGCCCAGGAGGCGGCTGTACAAATGTCCTCCACAGCCATTCCTCTGAAGAGAGTGGTGGAAAAGGAAATAGCTCTCGTGGAATGGGCTCTGATGTCAGGTGCAGGATCACTCCCAGCTGACATGTATGCCTGCGTGATAGCCTCACACAACCAGTGAGACAGCCACTGCTTGGCTAAAAGCTGCCCAAGAGAGTGCTTCCTGTAATGGACAAACAGCGGTTGTGTTTGCCCGACAGCTGCCATGCGATCTAAGTAATGGGACAGTGCACGCAATGGGCAAAGAACATGAGTTCTTCCTCTGACTCATCTCTGTGAGGCGGAGGAAAGGAACCATTCAGGGAGGTGACTCTGGGTCGAAAAGAGGATGTTACTATTTTTGGTGCATAAGCAGGGTTTGGTCTAAGAACGGCTGAGCTGCCGTCTTCACGGATAAGAAGGCACACTGGTGAGATAAACAGTGTACACAGATCACCCACTCTCTTAGCCGATGTCAGGGCTAAGGCGCTGTTTTCAGAGAGATGTGTTATGGGGACGAAGGGAGGTTCCGTGAGTGTGCGTAAAACCAGAGGTAAGTTCCACTGCGGTGCCACCAAATGTATCACAAGCCGTTGTCTGCCTTACACCCCTTAGAAAACATTTCACCAGCAGGTGTGCAAACCAAGCCCACAGTTGCTGTCCTATCACAAGGAACTGCTGGATTGGACCATCCAGCTGAGAGAGTGCGTCCCCGTGCCATGGCATCTGTCAGGGCTTTCCCGCCAGCGGCTGAACCAGGGTCAGAAACCAAGCTGCTCCTGTGCGGTCCAGAGCTATCAGGAGGACGTGCAACCGTTTGTCCTGAATGCGTGAGAGGAGACGTGGGATCAGTGGAACAGGAGGGAACACGTAAGAGAGACCTTTGGGTGAAGGGCGGTGAGCAAAAGCATCTTCCCCTAGTGGAAGTTCATCTCTGGCATTCATTGAGAACCAGAGAGCACACTGTATGTTCCTGCATGCTGCGAACAGGTCTGCCACAGCTTGACCGAACTTTTCCCACAACGTCTGAACAAGGGACGGATTCAATCTTTACTCGCTGGCCTGAAGTCTGCCTCATGACATGAGATCCACAGCGCCGTTCTGCGCCGGGGACATGTACGGCTCTGAGGGAGAACAGGTTCTGTTGAACCCAGAGCAGGAGATCTTGTGCAATCTCCAGCAGCCGGGCAGAACAAATAACGCCTTGCCTGTTAATGTATGCAATGGCTGTTGTGTTTCCTGATTGCACCACTATGTATTTTCCTCTCAGTATCGGTGCAAAACCGAGCGGAGACGTGTCTGTGAACACCGATATGTATGACGTAACTCTGCCGAGGGGAACTCCTGCTGCTATGACATGGAGTTCTCCAGTACACCAGATCTGACTGGACCGAGTGGGGGAACCATGAGCACGTGCTTCTTGTGATGCACCGGGTCGAGGCGAAGATGGCTGAACCATCTCTGGAGCTTCCTCATGTGAAGGAGACTAAGGGGAACCACGACATGACTGGCTGACATTGTGCCCAGTAAGTGCATCACAGACAGCACTGTCACCTTCACGCGAGGAACAGTGCTCTGCAGGAGAGATTAAAGCACCTCCTGCCTGGCAGGTGACAGCTTCGCTCTTTGAGCTTCTTGTTGTTCATACTGATATCTGCTCTGTAATATTCACACCTGTTGAACATGTTATGTGTTCAAGTCAATAACACTTCACCAGAATGGAAATTAAGCTGGAGCAAGCTGAGTCACGAACTAAACTTGCCTCTTGGCTACTGGCACAATTTACTCCAAAACCACCATTCTGGTAAACCTGTTTCACATGGAGACTCAATCTCTATTATGGTGAGGTATGCATTCCTTACCAAAGAAAAATACACTTACACAATCACATATAATAATACAGCCACATCTACATACATTTAGAAACAAGTAGTGATCTTGTAATCTACTGAGAGCAGAAATGAACACACTGATTTGATTTATTCTTTCAAGCATGTAAAGACAGTTGATATGTCAACACATATAATTTTACACATATCCAACAAATGCTAATCTAATATCAATTTGCTTATACCTAGTACATGCTTGAATGGAGTAGGAAGAAGTCAGACTTATCCAGTCCTACCCCATGACATCATCTTACCATCATTGGTTTGCAAGCAGTATCTCTACATAAATAATTCTCTTCTACACCACACAAGTAATATA